AAAAAGAGAAAAGCCGTCTCTTAACAGAGGAGGAGGCCTCAGATTTCCACTTTCCAAAATATATAATGCAACTTTAAAACAGATCCCCAGCCGGTTTTCACACCTGATGGGAACAGAGGGGCCTCGACTGTGAATTAGAGGAACAAAGACCTACTGTTTAGGTTTTTAGGTGTGAACTGCCAATCTACATATATGTGTGTGTGTGTGTGTGTGTGTGTGTGTGTGTGTCTTATCTCACTCAGCCTTATAACCTGTATCTCTCACTCTCTGCTCTTTGAATTGAGAAAGCTCCTCGGATGAGGAGCGAAACGTCTTCTGTTACAAATAAAGTCCAGTTGTTTTTGTATTGAACGCTTTTTGAAAACATCTCTTAATGAAATGAGGATAACGAGTTACAACAACAAATAATTTCCCTTTGGGATTAATAAAGTATTTTTGAATTGAATTGAAACGAATATGTAAACATTTTTTTTAAAAAGCTTTGCCATAAAAGCTGCTTAGAATCTTTGGAGGCTGTAGTAGTTTGAAGGCAGCAGCAATTGATTTAGTTCTTGGCTGAGTGTAAACTGGTCATTAGCTCATGAGTCCTGTCACAGTTGAACCTCAGATTCCTCATGAAGCTACAACCATCTCAACTGTTAATCACTTTAAATAGCTGGATTACCCCATTTATGTTGACAACTGTTCGTTATCAGTTTAACAAGTTAACATGACAAGAAAAATGTTTCTGCAACAAATTTGTAACATTTATTGATTCATCTATATTATTTATTCATACTTTCCTAACTTTAACCTTTCACAGCTTGTTTAATTAAAGTCATGCCTGAACCTAATGAATATATTTTGACATATTGTCCTTCCAGTATTACTGGAGTGCTGTGGTTCTGACCTCTGGATGACGTTCTTCTTCTTCTTGATCGCCTGCCGCAGCGGGTCGCGCAGAGTCACCTGGGAAAAGTCCTGCAGAGCTGAGTAGATGGTGTGGCGTATGGCGTGGTTAAACACGCTCTCCATGCGTCCCATCAGCACCTGCAGTCCTTTTATCATAGCGATCACCTGCCAGAAGCATCATGTGTTGTGACGAACAGGACTACTCAAAGTTTAAACATATATTGTGTACATGTCTGTGTGTGTCTGACCTCCACGAGGGCAAACTTCTCCTCACTTGTGTAATTGTACCGAGTGGCCCTTTCATATTCCTCAGCATTGTCAGGGCACTCTTTGTTCGAGTATTTGTCTGTCGGGTGAACCAGTTTCCATGAGTACTGTGCAGAAAGACAAGTTGTCAGTTTAGTTTCGTCTAAATGAAAACATTGTATTTGTACTGGGTAAGTTCTGTGCTTCCTCACCACTTCCATAACGTGAGCACTCCACTGGGAGAGCAGCTGCATGCCCTGCAGGGCCAAGTCAAACAGCTTCCTGTACTCTGAATCGGTCTTCTGGGCCTCCTGACGCCCCGATCCAGTCACCACCTACATAGTCACAAACATTTTACACCCAAAAATCCAGTATATATAATCCTCATGGACCTCACAGTACAGATAAATTATAATCAGTCAGGGAGCCAAACTACTCAGCCCTGTGTTGTAAATGTAAACATTTCTTTCCCTAATGTTTTATTTCTGAACCACTTGTCAGTCAGTTAAATTTCCAACTGGGTCACACAAAATGATGAACCCTGGAAATCCACTGCAGCAAAGCATCTGCTGAAAAACTTGTTACATAACAGCCAGGAGTTTGTATCTCTCTCACACATTAAAGCCCTGCAGAGTCACATGATGGACGCTCTCTGGACTCAAAAGATCAAAAGATGAGTGTACAAGATGGGATGACTTGGTCTGACCTAGCCCTGAATCAGCTGATGGATGAGCATGTTTTACACTTCCCCTTTAACCCTGAGGACGTTCATACCAACCTCACTGTTGCTATAGCGAGCAAGCTCAGAGATGAAGCGCATGTGATCCTCCCTGATCTGAATCATCTGCTCACAGATGTTGTACTGGGGGCTGCTGGAAATAGATGTGCAAGTCCACCTGGGGAGGAGAGGAGATGAGACAAAAAACAAATATGAACACAGTTATGTACTAAAAGATGATGGGAATGAATCCAAAACGTCAGAACATTTTGGTCTCATAAAAACTATGAAACAAATAGATTAAGTATAGTCTCTTTCATAATAGCAAAGTAGATTGTTTAATTTAGAGTCAGTCTCCCCACCATCACAGACATTTACACCTCCAGATGCAGGAAGAGAGCCACCTGCATCATGAAGGATGCCACCCACCCAGCACACACACTTTTTGCCCCGCTCCCCTCAGGAAGGAGGTTGAGGAGCATTAAGTGTAGAACCACTAGACTGAGGAATAGCTTCTACCCTGAGGCTGTTAGACTCATGACTCTCTAACTAGAATAATCACTGTGAAAAAACCCCACTGTAATGTAACTTTAATTTGTGATATGTGACTTATTTGTGCTGCTGATTATCCATGCTGCTGATCTCAAGGTGCTGTATTCATTCATACCCATCTGCTTACCACAGACTCATGTTCAGACTGCTGTTGTTACACCATATTGTTTTACATTATTAGTGTTTAGCATAGGCCTGTCACGATAACAAATTTTGCTGGGCAATTAATTGTCTCAGAAATTATTGCGATAAATAATAATATTGTTTGAAATTTGACAATAATTAGTAATTATTGTCAAATTTAAGAAGAAATGTTGGTTAATTGTTGTGTGTAGTACCTTTTTTTGACCACCGGCTGGCAGTATAAGACTGAACCGAAGGATGGATAGTGAGGGAGCGAGCAGCGTGTCTCTTTAAGAAAATGGGAGGGAGGTCCCATGACGTGATATGGGCTGTCTCTCCTACCTGTTTTTCGGTTTTCAAAATGGTGGACGCTCGGTGTGGTTTGAGCTCTTTAGCATAGCATTTGTCACACAAAGCTTTTAATAATAATTCAAACAATCCAGGGAGAACCGGAGCACCAGTCCCAACCCCAATCGCCCCCAAAGGCACAATACCCACCCACAGCCCAGACCCCAACCAGGCAGCCTACCCCCCTGCCCCCGACCCCAAATGTCAGACTGAGAATGAGGGTTAAAGAAAAGCTGGAAGACCCAACTCCTCCCTCCCCCCACTCAAATAAGATGTTGATGCATGTTGTTATATAGTGCGTTTAAAATGGGGGGGATGAGGTGGCGACTGGCACAGACCCACCCCCTCCCCAGAGAGCAGGCAGTGCCCGTTCACCCACCCAACCCTTGCCCAGAGCCCTAAATGTCTACATGCTACATATGAGAGTGGACACAGGTCCCGGAGGTGAGAATGATTACACATCCCACCCCCTATATGCCACCATGTGCCCACTCCAGACCCTATATATGCATGTGTCGTGAGAATGTTATATGCGAGTGTCTAGGTTGTTTGATAAAATTGGGGCCCAGGTCTCCATGAACCACGGAGATGGAGGATCTTCCCCGCAGCTCAGTAGTGCACCTGAACCCCAAGGCCCTGCTTGAGTGGTGGTGTGATGGAGTGGGTGGAGGAAGACGTTGGGATGGGGAGGAACAACTGAGGTGGCAATGCCCTCCCAGGGGGCCAGCTCCCCCACTGACCCCAATAGGCACCCCCATTCTCCGAGATCCACCAGGGGAGGGAGGCTCCAGTGCATCCATCCAGGAGCAGGAGGCAGCCACACCACCAGGGACCCAGGCCATGGACCGGCACATAGCCCCGAGGACCGACCAGAACCCGAGCCAGCGACCCAAGCCCCCCTGAGATCGTCCAGACCCCCAACCCGATCCCCAGCTCAACACCCAGCCCCCCAACCAAAGCAGCCACCAAACTCCAGCAGCGACAACAAGCCAGGAGTGCCTGAACAGCCGCAGACAGCGCACCACGATGACCGAGAGCGCACGCCCACCCCCACAAAAGGACCGACCAGTCCACCACAGCAACACCCACAATGAGAGCACACCATGCAAGGGAGGGCACACGCCTAACACGCCCAGACACCCCCGGGCCAGCAGTGCAGAGCCACCCGAGCAAAAGCCCCCCCACCCACAACCCCCCACAGCCCAGAACCCCAGCCAAGCACCAGACCGCAGCCACAGCCAGGCAGGAAGACACCCAGGCTGAGTCCACCCGTCCACCAGAGGCCCCAAAGCCCACCAGCGCACCAAGGGCTCCCAGGCCAGGGCTGTGCGCCGGCGCATGCACCGCCCAAGACCCTGACAACATACCCGCCAAAACCCGAGACCCCCGGATCAAGCCGGGACCCCAGCCCGGCAGCGACATTCCCCCAGAACCCCGAACCCGCGCCCACCCCAAACCCACCCAGGAGCAGCCAGGCCACCAGGCCAGCAACCTGCGCCCGCCAGCACAGACCGCCCAGAGGCCTGCATGCAGCCAGCAGAGGTCAACGCCCAGAACCACCAAAGCCATCTCCCCAGTTGAGCGTCATTGCCCCGGGCCCATGACCCCCCAATGCCCCCAGCCCCGATACCCCCCCACATCAACCACAATGCCCCACGGGACAAAATCCAAGGGGTTTACCCACCTCCACTACAGGTTGAAGCCAATCAAAGAAGCCCAGAGAGATTGTTCTGATGTGGAGGTACAGGCTATCTCAAGACTGATGTAATCTAACAAAAGGTCTTTATACTGTTTAAAACTAAGAGTATTTTTATTTTTCCAATTTATGAGTGTAGTTTTTTTTGCTATACATAAAGCAGTAAAAATCATGTGAATTGACTTTGTCTCCAAGGTGACATCATCTAAGTGACCCAATAAGCAAACTGACGGAGAGAGTGGAATATTACATCTCAGACACTTTGATAAGTCTTCACATATCCGGCACCAAAACCTCTGAACAGGTGGACAGAACCAAAATGCGTGGATGTGATTGTAAGGAATATTGTCTGTACACTGTGAGCAAACATTAGATGATGCGAAACCCATCTTGAACATCCGTTGACCTGTGTAGTGTACTCTATGAAGGATTTTGTATTGTATCAATTGTAAATTGGGGGTTTTAATCTTCTTAAAAGTTCTTAGACAAATCTGAGACCAGAAGTTTTGGTCAAAGTTGACTGACAAGTCTGTCTCCCATTTTACAATGGGAAGAGATATAGATTCATCTATTTTAATGAGTGTCCAGTAAACCTTAGACAGTAATTTGGGAGGGTTAAGATTTAGGAATTCTAATACACTTGATGGTATTTCAATCCTAGTGTTATTAAGGTTAAATTTATTTTTTGTTATAGATTTAATTTGTTGATATTCTAAAAATTTATTCTCATCAATCCCATATTGTGTAATTAATCTGTTAAATGGGATGTAGTCCACTTCTTCATAGATATGTTCCAAATATTCGATTCCTTTACACCTCCAACCTGGGAAGTTTATCATCTTATTCTGTTGTAGGATGTCAGGGTTGTTCCAGATGGGTGTACGTTTACATGGAATTAGTGAAGACTCTGTCATTTTAAGAAACTCCCACCAAGCTGTCAGAGAGGAGCTGATATTGATGCTTTTAAAGCATTCCTGTCGTTTTATGTTTGAGCTAATGAATGGAAGGTCCGAGATCATTATATTATTGCAAAGTGTTTGTTCTACGTCTAGCCAGGGTTCATCAAGGGGTGTGTGTTTTATCCATCTTGAGATGTATTCTAGCCTGTTGGCTAGAAAGTAATAATAGAAATTGGGTAATTCTGGTCCTCCTTTATCTTTGGTCTTCTGTAGTGTTTTTAGTTTAATACGTGGGGGTTTATCTTTCCAGAGAAATTTAGAGATGGAAGAGTCCAGGGATCTAAACCAGTCAGATGATGGTTTATTTGGAATCATTGAGAATAGATAGTTTATTTTAGGCTAAACTATCATTTTTATTGAAGCAATTCTTCCCATGAGAGACAAGGGTAGAGATTTCCATCTAGCAAGATCATCCTCAAATTTCTTTAAAAGTGGGATGTGGTTTAGTTTTGTTTAATCTGTCAATCTAGGAGACTTTGATACCCAAGTATGTAATATTCCCTGACTACAGTTGTGTAGTAAGTGAATTGTTGAAATAGCAATTAATTGGTAGAACTGTGGATTTTAGCCAGTTTATAGAGTAATCTGAAACTCTTGAAAAAGAGTTTATCAATCCAATTACCTGAGAGATGGAGGTTTGTGAATGTTGGAGGAAGAGCAACACATCATCAGCATATAGACTGATTTTGTGCTCTATGTTCTTGCATTTTATACCTTTAATATCTGTAGTTTGCCTGATTGCTGCGGCTAGCGGTTCGATGAAAATAGCAAACAGTGAGGGGGAGAGTGGACATCCCTGCCTCGTGCCCCTTTGCAGAAGAAAGCTAGCAGATATTTGATTATTTGTCCTAATGCATGCTGAAGGAGAACTGTATAATATTTTTAACCAGTTTATGAAATAATTTCCAAAACCAAATTTATGCAAGGCTGCAAATAAAAATTTCCAGTTAACTCTACCGAAGGCTTTTTCTGCATCTAGAGAGAATATTGCAGTTTCAATATTTTTACTGTAAGAATAATCTATTAAATTAAATAATCTGTGTGAATTTGTGGATGAATGCCTCCCTTTTATAAAACCAGTTTGGTCAGGATGTATTATGAGAGGAGTCATCTTTTCCAGTCTTTTTGAGAGGGCTTTACAAATTATTTTAAGATCAACATTGATAAGAGATATTGGACGATAACTGGTAGGTAATACAGGGTCTTTGCCTGGTTTTAACAGGAGACTAATGTTGGCTGAGTTTAAATTTTCTGGAAGTCTGTTATTTTTCTCAGTTTCTTGTAGCATTTTGTGAAATAGTGGAGCCAGGATATTCCAGAATTCTTTATAGAATTCTGCTGGGAATCCATCTGGACCTGGAGCTTTTTTATTGGACATGCTTTTGAGGGCTTCCTGGGGTTCCACTGGTGTCAGTGGTGAGTCCGGCTCCATTGATTGATTATCTGATAATTTAGGAAGTGTTATTTTATCCAGGAATTGATCAATTTCATTATCTGATG